AGAAAGAAACGAAGAAACGAGTAAACCATTTAATTACTAAACAGAATATTATTTATTCCATTAAAATGTACAAAAATCAGAAACCATTAAAAAACTTAACCGCATTGCCTTCTGAGCGACTTATACAGGAGTAGTAATCGCCTATCTTAAGGCCCCGGAAATATACAGTTCGCCTCTTCCGAATTGGAACCCACTGTATCGGCTACGCATTTTAGGGGAAAGGGGAGACGTCCACTCGACGCACTTGATCTGGTTGTTATGGCGACTCAGTTTTGGGCGTTTTTGTTACTAGTCGATCCGTGGTACGAAGAAAGGTGACGGCTAATAACAAGGACGTGCTGAAACTGAGCCGCCATAACAATTGCGCTGAGTACGGCAAGTGGACGTCTCTCCTTGCCCCCCAAACTGCTGTGACATCAGGTCTGACGCCAGAACTTAAATCACACTAACTGCTCCATAATCCGACTTAACGAATTCCGATCTACTCCCACCTATGAGTAAAGCAGTCATAAATATGGGACATGAAATTAAAATAAAGTCTGCCTTGAACCACAATCAGTTACTTGTTCTTATTGCCCTCACCTACTGCGGTAGTTGAAATAATATGGATCACCTCAAATATACGTATCTCAGAATGAATATACACCTTCTCTCGTGATAGCTCACCTTCTTCGAGTAAATAAAATTAAAACTAGAATCTCAGACCGTCGTGGAAACATAGAACTCCTCGACCTTTAATTTTTTTCTGTTTGACGGTATTTGTCCCATCACACTCCGTAACCGATAGAGCGGGTTCCAGATCGGAAGAGTCGAACTGTATGGCCGTGGCTTTATCCAAAGCTCTGCCCGTGGGCAACTGAGGCCGCCCTTGCTCGCGAAGGGGCTTGTTGGAGGGGCCTGATCTAAATGATTGAGTTCGATAAATCACGACTCTGAAAGATCTAAATCCCGAAAAAACAGTGACTCGATTAATCGAGGTCCCGGCGTGGCGCGATGAGAGTGTATTGTATCGAAGCTGCGGATAAAATTCGAGAAAAACACGGGGGAACGTTGTTCGAAGGGGGTCAGAAATATTTCAAGAGCGAAACACACGCTTGATACTTATTACTCAAGATGTTCGTGACGGTTTTCCCGTATTAGGTTAAACGCAATTCACGAAGGGTGGCGTGTGCTTGCAGGCTCTCGTGCTCTTTATCAACCCTTTCACGAAATGTGCTTCGTCGTGCTTCGTGATATATTGTGGTAGTCACAAGTATTTATCTAAAGCTTGTTTCTTTTTTCTAATGGCCGC